GCACTGGCGAACTAAAGCTAGAAAAGCTCTTTTTACCAGTACAGTAAAGTCATTGTATAACGACAAGACACACACAAAAAGGACTGTCATTACAGCATGCATGCGCTAATTATAAAACTGAACTCATCTGCAGTGATTGAAGAACAGCCTTTAATTGGATAAAGATACACAGCGCTCAGAAAAGGTTTACTGTTGTTTGGACACATGGATAATGTTGATGATGGTTGCGGCCAAGAGGAAATAAGAAAGCACGATCCAAGCATCTCACGGAAAGCTTCCAGATCCTTGAAAAAAAAAAAGAAAAAGTGAAGAAATAGCTTATTTTACCGTTGGTCACAAGCGGAGCAGATAGCATTCCGTAGCGAAAAACTATTTTTAAATTTTTTAAAAAAGTGTATTTTCAGCAAAAAAAAACCCGGTTTATCGCCGTATGACAACAAGTGCTAATATGATTTAGTTCTTTCAAAGAGATGAAAAGTATACTTGCTGAGTGGACTGACGACCGAATGAGATCCGCACAGCTCCTACCGGACGACCTTCAATAATGTCGTTGCTGTCGCCGCAGTGCTTCCCATGAATCTAATAAGCAACGATCAAAAAATTTAGAAGTAAGCAGAGCTCATCTGTTTGCATCATACCATTTGTTACTAAGAGCTCATTTGTTTGCAGCATTTTGAAAACGCTAAGAGCCCTTTCGCCTGCTCAGATTTTGCTGTGCTCGAAATGTTAAAAATCTCAAAAACAAAATTTTGCTTGAGATAACTAAAGAGTGCATACTAACTAAAAGTTTAGTATTTTAAAAAATGTCATCTGCTGTACCGATACCATTTGTTATACCAATAGTTGTATTGGTATAACAAATGGTAGCGGTACAGCAGATGACATTTTGTCATCGATCAAGTTTGTTAAAATCAGTGCATGAACAGAAGCACCTATTAGGGTTGCAATAATCATGCACTTTTTGTAATCAGTTGCTGTAGTGGAGCATGGGGTGAGCTTTTCAAAATATATCAAAACTCAGGTTGGAACACACCAGGCTTACCGGTACAATCATTTTTTCTTGCACTAAACTCGCAGATCGCTAACAATAGGAATGATCTGTAGCCTAACACCTGTGCTGTAGCCTAACACTTGGGCCCATGCTGGTCGTGCTT